CTCTCTCTCTCTCTCTCTCTCTCTCTCTCTCTTCTCTCTCCTCTATCTATCTCTCCTATTCCTCCACTCACCACCTACCGTTGGCTGTAGGAATGGGGATTCTTTTTCGTTTTGTTTTAAGGTGGAGAAGTATAATACAGTGACGGGTACGGGGGTGGTATCGATTGTCGGCGGTGGCGGTCAGACGGTCAGGCGCGCGCGCGGCATGCCGTGTAATGCGGCGGCGATGTAGACGCGGGGTGGGCGACGAATCGTAGACCACGCGCGCTGCCGCTTGACGCCGTCGCCAGTACCAAAGGGTAGGTTTTGACGGTTGTCTTGGCACGCCGACGGCGCAGACCGACCGCCGCCGAACGCCTATGCCGCCGACGAACTCGCCGACAGGCACCGAACACGGTCGACGTCATTCACGCCGCGCCCCCGTTGCCGCGTGTGTGTGTTCGTTCGGGGTGTGTACGCTCGTGTGTACGATCGTTCGTTCGGGGTGTGAGCGCCCGTCGTTTTCTCGACACTCGATCGCCACCGACCGTACGACGATAACGATAACGGCCTGTACTCCGACGGCCAACAAAACGAGTGTATATGGTAATTATAATTTTTATTATTATTATTATTATTATTGCCGGTTTATTACATACCTAATTATTTTATACTTACTGGTTTCTTTTCAAAACTTCTTTAATTTCGACCTCGTGCTTTACATTATATCATCTCACACGCATTCCACCGTGATTTGCCATTAACTCGTCTAATACAGTCTACATCACACCACATCCGTCTCTAACACACGTTGACGGCKTAACGAAGTTACCAGAGTGAATCGGCTTGCAGTGCCCGAGTACCACACGCAACCGTGACCACGAACGACCATAACCATCACGACGAGGTACGAACCCGTGAACGCGCGGTGGTGGCACCGCCATCGGCGGTAGTAACCGCCACGTTGTACAAAATAGCCGTTGCCGCCGCCACCACCGCACACGGCAAACATGTTCAACTTTGCCAGTAAAATGATCAACAGCCTGATGGCGGCGGGTGATGACATGGTCACCGGCACCGATTCGCAGCAGCCGCAGAGCGCTGTCCACCGTCAGCAACAGCACCAGCAGCAGTTCCAACAGCAGCAAGACTATGGTGGTGGACGACCTGGAGGTCTGTCCACCACGGCCAGGCAGTACGGCATGAATCAGCAGCAGCCACCTCAGCAGCAGCAACAGCGTGGCATAGCCGGTGGTGGGTACTCACAGCAACCACTGCAGCAATCACAACAACCGAAACTCCCGAGACAGCCGTCGCAGCAATCACAGACTAGACTGCAGCAACAGCAGCAGTCGCAATCACAGCCGTCTTTTTACCGTCAACAGCCACCGGCGCCTTTGTACAACACTGGCAACACCAGTAGTGGAAGGCCGTTGTCTCAGTCATCACCACATCAACAGCAGCAGCAGCAGCAGCAACAACAACAACAACAACAACAACAGCAGCAGCAGCAGCAGCGGCAAAGGCAACAACAACAACAACAACATCAGCAACGTCCCGGTGTCGCCGGCATGGGCATGCCGGCATTATCATCAAGTAAGTGCGATCTTCGTTTTAAGCGTATATAAATGCTATTTGAACTGGAGGGGTAACGTGGGGATGACGGAGTCACTATTATTTAAAAAATATTAAAACATTTCAGTGATGTGCCCCTTCTAATATTATTATATCCTAATGCCGGGCTGCAGTGAAAATTGATTACCTAGCTTAAATTTTTAAACGATTCATTAAAATTCAACGGACCAATCGTGGGCCACTAAATGATGCTCAAGTTAGGAACCGCTCTTATAGCTCATAATATTATATTGATTCGTTTAATGTTTAGTGAATGTAGTTCATGCAACCCGACGTTCAAATTTTCGGTTATGATCATTTTACTTCACTCTTGCATCCTCTTCGAATTTTTTTCATACTCAAACAATGTTATTGTACACAAAATAACTGTAATAGGTTTACCCGCCTGCTTGTAATATTGTTGTTACAGTAATATTATAAAGTTACATATTTTTATCACTATACCTATGAATTATGCATAATTTAAGCATACCTACCTATACCGTGGCAGCCATCAAGCGAGCTCATATTATAGGTACTGTATTATTATAAATTCATGGYCGGGGCGGGGTGAGGTCTATGCGGTCGCCGCTACGTCTGGTGTACTTGCTTACGTATATACAACGTACGGCGGCGAGGGAGGCAAGATACGATTTTGCCATCGTGTTGTATGTGGTACCATCTGAGACACACACACATATATATATATATATATATACGTATAAAGTTCTTTGGCACGCTAAAGTTGGATGCGTGACTTCGACTTTGGTTCTACATGCGACACGCGCTACTCCATGCCGCACCGATCAGCGGTCACACATTATGCCGTTCGCGTCTACCGCACATACGGTTCGGCACTTAGCGATGAACGCGCTTCTTCTGTCTTCTTATTCGTTCCCTTTTCGGGAGAGCAAACCCGCATCCACCCACATTGCGCCATCAACCGGCATTTGTCTGTAAACGATGACATATATATATACTATATATGTATAGCTGTACATTAAGAGCCGCGGGTTTTCTACACATATAATATAATACGTCATGTTGCTTGTTCTTTTCGCGGTTGTTCCCCCGCGGGCCAAACGGTAGCTATAAATTACCTTCCACTTATCAATAATAAACCAGACATARAGCRAACGAYGGCTATGTATACCTCAGATAAAATCTCGACGTAGTTAGAGCTTTCGCACGCAACATTACCGTATACCTACCTACATAATAACGTCGTATTATCGTCGTAAGGCGCATTGAGCGTCCGATTTCGCATGGCGCAACACGTTGTTCTGTAGAGCTTGAGCGACTGCCATCGAACTTAATAATAACATATCATATTTTATAATTTCTCGTCTAGAGTTATCTTTGCACTCGGGGACTTAGATTTTTATTAATTTTTTTTTCTTTTTTAATGGTTTGAAAACTATATTATATTGGAAAATCCTATTTTTTAAATATYGTTCCATCATGACACATTATAATATTATTTAATATAAACATCTGAAAAAATATGATAGTTTTATTTATTATATAGGTGGAACCCTCAATCTCGAGTATCGAACAATTTTTGACTGATTTAGGTTTTATGTTTAGTCTGTACACCTTAATAAGTCCTCCAAATATGTTTATCAAGACTATCCAATCGTTTGATGTTATGAGGCCCTCCTACAAAATCCTATAGGTGATTTGGATTGGCTGTTTAACCCTTAAAAGCTCTCTATTTGTCTGACAAATCCTCGAGTACGGTTCAGTAATACGGAATTCTGTTGATGCTAATTATTCAGCTCTACTTGAGTGAGTTCAACGTAAATGTGCATACTTCGCTGGCTGGTTCATAAAAATGTCATGTACACCCCCAAGACTACTCATCCAGTCACCCATTTTCGAGGAACTTGAGCTTGACCCGTCAGCTGATCGAAATTATACCTCCAACTTAAGGTTTCTACAGAAGTTGTTGACTGTACGTATAATGATTAAATTATTTTCCGAGATAGTTCAAAGTTCAAGGTAACAACTTGCCACTGTGCTTCTTATCATGTACATATACCACCGTGAGTTATCGTTCTCACTCGACACGAAACGACTTTTGGTCCAACATTTTTGTTCTGGTTTTATTATTAATATATTGAATGTATATTCAAGCTGTAATTATATTACCAACTCTTGTAAATTTTTACTGTTGTAATTACTATTCTCACTATYTCACTGTGTTTGAAAAATCAATCGGAAGCTCGTTTACCGATAATTATAATAATAATATGTTTAAAAAATATAGTTTTTGAACCATTGGTTTTTTTTCATTCGTAATGGTTGATGAGTTAAGATGAACTTGACTTAATAATGTATAACTTGAAGTCCAGTTTAATATCTCTTAGGTCTCAATTTATACATTTGTAGATACTGTTACATGTAGTGGTGTAGTTACGATTTCTGAAACGGATGGGAGGCCAATAAAAAACCTTATGAAAATTAAATTTGTATTGTTTGCACTAGAGATAACTTTTATGCATATATTATTATATGACTAGATATCTACTATTAGAACCGAGATTAACAACATTTTCTACAACTTTTCATTTATTTTATTGTTATGTCTAACATTTTTATTCTTCTAGTAGATTTTTTCTATAAAAGTGGTCAATAATTTTTGTCCTACATTGTCATATTCGGTGAAAACATGGCCGGAGTGGTTATGACCGCCTATATATACCGTGTCATAAAGGACAGGTCGCATATCGCATAATAATAAAATATACGTGTAGTACATGCAGACAATACAAAAATATAACAACCATAACTGTAATAACTCAATCGTCCTAATAAATATARTAGTTAGACTACGACAGTTTTAAATATGTTCTGAATATTAACGTGATCCTAAGTAATTCCGATAGTGCGTGAGTAAAATCCACCTGGGTTCCAGAAGTTTCAATTGAAAAATGTCTATTAAAAATGTCTATTCTGTTACTGCAGTGTGCGAAAACGTTCATTACACGCTCACAATTTTTTGATTGCAAATGCCAAAAGCTGCTTGCACTTGTCAAGGGACTCGTCAGGTGCGTCCCCAAATTGTTTTCTGGATGATAGATAAAAAAATGTTAATAACTGATTACGATTCTCAAATTGCACCGTGTCACGAAATTTGTTCGTGCTGTCGGCTAAACTATAATAATATTTTTAATTTAAAATCTATTATTATATAAGTAATCAATTAACTAGGTTTCTTTTTTAAATATTTACATCTTCTTTTTATTCCTCATCTCCTCCTGGTTGAC